ATATATGTATAGGCCGATGTTTGCCATGCATATCAGCTGCTAAGGAAAGGTGGGTTGAAGGAAGAGAACATAATTGTGTTCATGTATGATGATATAGCAAATCATGAACTAAACCCAAGGAAAGGGGTGATTATCAACCATCCAAAAGGCGATGATGTTTATGCTGGTGTACCTAAGGTATACACTTTCACACTATGCCCAGTAATTAGTTTAGACAAATTTTATATCAGTGTGTCACTTATGTGTTAATGTCAAAAAAGTTGAAGTGTTTTAGTTTTGGACAGATTTCTCCACTAGTGGAGAGATACTTGGCAATTACTCTGTGCCGGAGTAGATATCAAGTTTTTATTCCATCAGAAAATGACCCTGGTGGGGTCATGATCTTATTTCATGGTTAAGATTAATTCGCTCTTAATCACGACTATAAGTATGTGGTTAGGATTTGATCATCTTGATAGTGATTGCCAAATATTTATATGACAGCAATCTCAATTTGCAACAAAGCCGTCATCATTAGTATAGTTTTTGATGGTTATTAAATAAATCCTAGGCGCACCTAGGACCGTTCAAGGTGCGTGACATCAAAATCAATTTACTATAAAGTAATTGAGTGTCACAAAAATATCGCATACTATGAATTCATATTATATCCATTTAATGTAAAGTGAAAAGGACTGCTAAAAAAAGATGTTCTTTGCACACCAAACTTGTTCTGGACCTTTTGGTTCTGTTAGCCATCTGTCAAATATTTTAAGTAGAAGTTGAAGAAAGACTCCTTCCTTCAAAAGAATTTGCCATTAAATAACGCTATCCTGTACCTTCTAGTACAGTAATTTTGCAAAATAATATGTGCTTTAATTACAATTTGACAGCTAATTAGTCAATTTGGTAGATCACCATTGGGTAAGGTTCATCAATCAGTTCCTAGCTAACGTTGTGCCCCATAACCCTTTCATTTGTATTTGGATGATCTTGAGCTTCACCAACTAAACCCAATTGCTAGACGTAGACCCATTAATTAAGAAGCAAAAAATTTTGATTAATTTGTTCAAGGAAGGGGAAAAAAGAGTCGATGTTACATTAGTGGTGGATCTGCTTTACTTTTGCTGAAACTATTTAGTCACTTGATTACTTTTTTGACATAGATAGAGATAGATAGATATCTTGCCTTCTAGTGGAAGAACCAATAGATGCACTTGAATAAAGTTGCAAGAAATAGTAACTCTACAGGATTGGTTCGGCTATGTAATCATTCTGATAATTTAATTAGCATAAACTATAATCACAATTCGTCCAAAAAAATAAATGACATGATTACGTATTAAGGTGAAATTTTAACTTAATTCTGTGTGTTTCGTGGCAGGATTACACTGGCGAACAAGTCACTGCGAAGAATTTGTACGCAGTGTTGCTTGGCGACAAAAACGGTGTCACAGGTGGTAGTGGCAAGGTTGTAGATAGCAAACCCAACGACAGAATTTTCTTGTATTACAGTGATCATGGAGGCCCTGGAGTTCTTGGTAAGCTGGCTGTCTCTTTATGTTAATCTTTTTCTTATTTAAAAAAAAAAAAAATCCAGCGGAAAAGTGATTGACCTGCCAATAACTTTAGAGTTGGTAGCATAAAGAGGTAGGCTACTGTAAACTAGAACTTTAGATTCTTTTCCCCCCATGCTATTGTGATTCTTTTGTTTACTTATTTACTTCTCTAAGAAGGAAATGTTAATCGATGGTTTTCCATGCTGGTAGGGATGCCAAATTTGCCATATCTCTATGCAATGGATTTCATTGAGGTTCTGAAGAAGAAACATGCAGCTGGGACCTACAAAAAAATGGTGAGGAGTATTTTAGCATTAAGGTTTGTACCAAAGAAAAAACAAAAGAACAGCAGAATTTGACAAGGTTTTCTTGCCACTCAGGTGATATATGTAGAAGCTTGTGAGAGTGGGAGCATTTTTGAAGGCATAATGCCAAAGGACATAAATGTTTATGTCACAACAGCATCTAATGCACAGGAGAGTAGCTGGGGAACTTACTGCCCTGGGATGGAGCCTTCTCCACCTCCAGAGTACATAACTTGCCTAGGGGATTTGTACAGTGTTGCCTGGATGGAAGATAGGTGTGTGCTTCATTGGATACTTCCATTTGTTTCCATCCTTCTCTTCCTTTTTTGGAAGTTTAGTGTCAATTAACTTCTCCTTTTTTTCCTGCAGCGAGTCACACAACCTGAAGAAAGAAACAGTTGAACAACAATACAAAGCGGTAAACATCAATAAATATGATAATTTGGGATCTCAATACATGCTTATTTTCTTGATGGAATGTCAATGTTAATGTGTACCCTTGTTCTTGCAGGTGAAGGCAAGGACTTCCAATTACGCCCTGTATACTGCAGGATCTCATGTGATGGAGTATGGCACTCGAAACATCACGGCCGAGAAGCTTTTCTTGTACCAAGGGTTCGATCCTGCAACCGTAAACTTCCCACCGCACAATGGGCTCTTGAATGGTCCTATGGATGTTGTTAACCAGAGGGATGCAGAGCTTGTCTTCATGTGGCAAATGGTGAGCTAGGGGCTCTTAAGATTGAATCAAAGTCATGAGCCTTGCATCTAATGATTGAAGTTTAGTTAATATGTGCTTATATTGCTGCATTATATTGTTATGCCCTGCAGTACAAAAGATCAGAAGATGGGTCAGAAAAGAAGACAGAAATCCTGAAGCAGATAACAGACACAATGAAGCACAGAAATCACCTGGATGGAAGCATGGAATTGATTGGAACAATATTATTTGGACCCAGAAAGGGTTCTTCCACACTCCAGTCTGTCAGGGAACCTGGGTTGCCCTTGGTAGATGACTGGAAATGTTTAAAATCAATGGTGAGACTGAAACACAAACTCCATTCCATCTTTAAGTAATTGACCCCTGAAATCCTCCCATAAACCATCTGTTGCTAATATTTTGAGCCTTCTTTGTTCTCAGGTTCGAGTATTCGAAACAAATTGTGGGTCATTGTCACAATATGGGATGAAACACATGCGCTCATTTGCCAACATCTGCAATGCAGGAGTGTCTCAAGCCTCTATGGAGGGAGCTTGTGTTGCTGCTTGTAGCGGTCATGTTCTTGGGCAGTGGCACACTTCAAACCGTGGTGGCTATAGCGCTTGATGATGATGTAGGGAAAAATAAAATGTTCACAAATACTTGAGGCCTTCTTCCATATTAGATGATAGCTAGCCATATATTACAAGGGCCGTGGCCTTCCATATTTAGATAATTCGTCCAAGATTGTAGTGTTTCTCGGTGTCTTCATCCCAGTTCTTATTGCTCTTCAATTGGGAAACTGGTTATTTTCCCTATTGGTGCAAAAGACTAGTTTGTAGTAGCAATTGCAGTCTCAATTGTACAAATTAAGACCTTTTTGCTTTGTGCTGAATATACTTTTTGAAAGGTCTTAAAAAGTGTATTTTATTAACATTTGATTTAGGGTTCCATTCTTATCAATAATAAATCCACACATTGGGCCTACACAAATGGAGGAGGGACCCAACAAACAAAGTGAGACAAAATATAAAACACTTAAAAGGGGGAAGAAAATTACAAGCTCGGATGTGCTGAAATCGTCCGATGAGATCTGACGGTTGTGATAGACCCAACTATCACATGAAGCACAAGTTATCCTCACAGCTTGAGGTTGCACCAGCCGGGAATCGAACCCGGGTCTGTACCGTGGCAGGGTACTATTCTACCACTAGACCACTGGTGCTTGTTGTTTTAGCAGAAGATAAATTAATGAGAAAGCTGGAGTCGGCGAGCCAAATTGAATTCTTTGAGATAAAATTACAGATATGCATAAGTAATAAAAATATAATAAGAGATTAAATTCATTTCACACATAAAATTAATACCAAATTGACTGTAAAGACACAAATGAATTGTTTAAAATTATACTCCATGCCTATTCCCCAATTCCATTTCGCCTCTATTTTTAAAATGCCTTTGTGATTGAATCAATTTAAGAGTTTAAACAAGAACGATATAGGTGCCTCCGAAAATATAATCAGTAAGAAAAAGGAGAAATACTTTGCGTGTATATTGTCACAGACTCGCAGTAGCATTGATCTTGTATAACAGGCAGTGTTTTTATTTATTCTTTGAACGTTATAAAAGGAGGTGTCTTTACTCTTTAGGCTTAATTTCACACAATTGGCACAATTCTCCGGGAACAATTGTTCCCAAATTGCCTGCAATTTGGCCCATAATTGTCACACAATTGGCACACTTAGCTTCCCAATGGATCGGGATTAGGCAGGCATTTGATGGATTTTTATGAGACTAATGAGAGATTAGGCTCTATAACTCGCAATGGGACCAGTTCATGTGCCGATTCAGTCAGAAAGTTGGCAAATGTATTAGTAGGTGGGTAGCCACTTCGGTGATTATAGATTCAAATTATGGAGTATATATAAACTGATGTGTCATAGCAACAGTGGTTGTAGCAAACGAGTTAACCAACAGTCTTAACCACTAATAGGATTGCCTGCAAGCTAAAGTCATCAAGTACTGCCGCATAGAGAAGATAATCCAATGTACAAACATGGATGATGAGGTGTAATATGCAAAAAGAAAGAATGTAATCTTTTACTTCTGGTGTTGAAAAAATATAACATGATAAATCACCTGGACGGAAGCATGAAATTGATAGGAACACTATTATTTGGACCCAGGATGGATTCTTTCACATTTCAGTCTGTCAGGGAACCTGCAGGCTTGCCATTGGTAGATGACTGAAAATGCTTAAAATCAATGGTGAGACTGAGACACAAACTTTATTCCCTCTAATTACACTTCAATCCCTTGACGAATTTGATGCCTAATACCTTGAGCCTTAAAAGATAAGGAAGAAACAAACAAGAGCTCGGATGTGCAATGCAGTGTGTTACAGGTCTGGCCAGACACGTGGTCTCAACTACCACAATGAATCGTCATAGCTTGAGTTGCACCAGCCCGGAATCGAACCCGGGGCTGAACCGTGGCAGGATACTATTCTACCACTGGACCATTGGTGCTCGTTAAGTTTGCAAAGGAAACCAAGGAGTTGGCTAGCCTATTCCGCGTGGTATCACTATCACGTTTGATTCTTGTTTAAAATTTTACTCTAAACTGAAATTGTTGACAATGTTTGACACCTAAATTAACAAAAGATTGTTTAAAATTATATAACATGCCTGAGACACAAACAATTTTATAAATAAGGCAAAATACAAGCTCGGATGTGCATGATGTCGAGCTACCAGAGCCGTCGGATGTGATAAGCCCAACTATCACATGAAAGCACAAGAAATCGTCACAGCTTGTGTGCACCAGCCGGGAATCGAACCCGGGTCTGTACCGTGGCAGGGTACTATTCTACCACTAGACCACTGGTGCTTGTTGGGTTAGTAGAAGGAAGAAATTCTATACAAATCTTGCCTATCCCATGTGGTATCACGTTTGATTCTTTCGACAAAAAAAATCACGTTTGATTCTTGTTTAAAATTTTACTCCAACATTGCATCCAATTGGCCCCTAGTTGTCACACAATTGAACCAGTTATAACTACTGTCACCTAAGCACACCTAGCTACTTTGATTTTGTTTTTGGACCCAAGCAACTTTATGTCATATTGCCTTTTCTATGACTTAATGTCATATCTTTGGCGTCTTTGTTTATAGTACTCCCAAATTTGAGATCTATTTTGCGGGAAGTGAATTTGTCCTAAACCATTTTGGTTCTCCTTGAAAATAGAATTGTCTGCGATCAAAAGTCCTCTGGTACCTCCATATAGAGAAGACAATCCAATATGCAAACTTGGATGAAAAACTCAATGAGATATACATATACATAAAACAAAAAAAATCCGTCACTTCTTGTATTGAAAAATACTGACGAAAATAATCAACTCACAACCAAAAACTCCCTATGCTTTTCACTTCTACCCCGGTACCCACAATCCCACTTCTCAATCCTCATCTTCACCTTCTCAAACTCCGAATACCCGCAAGGCAACGTGATCCCACCCGGATGGTCAAACCCGTATACCCGCTCCGCCTCCTTCAACAGCTCCCCGAACAGCGGGTGATTGAAGTATATCACAGGCACCACTTCCCTCCTCCGCGTGTCACCGTCTCCCTCCCCTACGTACACCGCCAGGTGACCCTTCGGCACCTCCATATGATCAACCTGCGGGTTCTTATGACCCAACCGGATATAATGATCCGGACCCGAATTCCCAAAACAGAGTTTCTTCGCCCCACGTCGCAGGTAACGAGCTAATGCAGAGAGTCTGGAGATGGGTAGAGAGCGGGCCAAGAAGTGTAAGCGGGCGGGTTTTCGTCTGGGTCGGATTGTCCATTTGCATATTCTTGTTAGCCTGTGTCCTAGCCTAAAACCTCTGAGTGTCTTCATGATATTATATTAGGATTCGAAAGAAATGGCGAAATTGAGAAGCTGGGATTTGCTTAATAGGAAGTTTGAAGAAATGGGTTCTATAGAGTTTTCCTCAATCTTATCAAAACTTGCATGTTTTCAAGATCCCAAGTGTGACCAAACTTGGGTTATAATGGGTGTTTATATAGTACTGTAAGATTATTGGATTTGAGTGAGAGGAAGAGGGAAAAAAAAAAAATGGAAGACAGAACAAGGTTGTCTAGTTCGTGGATTTCAGAGAACTCTTGTTTGTTTCTAGTAGTGTACTCCTGCATAGTGAGTCAACAAGATTGGTAATGGAATACTTTATATAAAAACTGGAGCATTAATTATGTGTGCATCTAACACTGTACATACTTGGGTAGTACACGTGTAGACTTGACAGGTGTGGTCGGCACACGGTTCAGATTGGAGACATAAGACCCAGAGCCTGAATGGTTTTTTGGTTTCTTCTCTAAATTTTTTCTATTTTTCTGGTATTTTTTAAAAAGTCAGATGGAGGAAAATGATAAAAGTTTAACTAGACAGGGCTCGATTGATTGAGGAGTGGATGGATTTCTTTTTTATTTGTATTGTTTTATTTTATGTGGTTTGGTAATTGGAGAGCAGAGACACAGAAAATTTAGGGGAGAGATGGAATACTAGGGGTCAAGGGTCAGCTAAACTGACGGTATGATGTTTTGTTGGCCCTATGATGTCCCGGGAGGCCATGTCAATCTCAGGTTGTGAATTAGTAAATCATTTTGGATACTTGATCAAGGGAGGACAAACAAATCTTTACCACAGAAGTTGTCTTTTTTAACTTTTTCATTGACAGACAGATCATGTCTTGATAGTACAAACAAGTTTTTACTTTCAAGCAATGTAGGAGTTTTGCCTTTGTGCCTGGTTGTTTGGATGGATATGAAATGACTTTTGGGGATGAATGTGAGGAAAGTTCCAAGAATGGGGGTCAAAACTTTGTACTTCCTGCGTAGCGGTAGATTTTCGCTACTAAAGAGGGGTCAAGATTCAAGTTTACTGATCCTTTTGACAGTCAAATCAAAGTAATTTATTAATCTTTCCTTTTGATGATGTGTTGATTTGGATAAAAATTTTTTAACTAGGACATGAGTGAATAGGAATTTAGCATTTAGTCTAGACGAGTATAAGCAAGTAAGATATATTTCACAATCAGAAAAGGATAAAGAAAAAAAGATTGGCGAGGCAGGATATTGCTGAAATCATGGTAATATTTAGTCATCTTTTATGTACCTTTTTTTTTTTTTCTTTCTTTTGCTTTTTGCCCACTTAGGTTTGGTGTACCTTGGGACTTCAAATATGGACATTTCAGAACAAGTTGTGGTCAGGAAGAATGGTTGTTGCTTGTTTTCTCGTTTTTTTCCTGTAAGAATAAGAATAATAGAGGTCAAAGCTACTAACTTTTGGGAGTATAAGACCATCTCCAGTNTAAAGTAAATGACCTCTATGTTTTCCTTTCTTTCTTGTTGCAACTTGGATTTTTTTCTGACCAATTGATCAATGGTCATGTGTAATGTGAATGTGATAAAAAAAAAGTAAAGAAAAGAAAGAAAGAATGCAATATGGGCCATACACAAGAGTATGTAAAACATTTTAGGCTTACCAATTATCCAACAAATCTGAAAATCAGCCACACAAATGTCCTGCCTGTAATGAAAATGCTTTTCACGTTTGCAAAATAAAGATTGTGGCATTGGTGTTTTACGAATTTGTTACTTTTCCAAAAATGAGAAAAGATCTAATAGTTCACAGGCAAAACAGAAAAATGAGGATTTTTCCCTTTTATTTCGAGTAAAATGAGGGACCATTAAGAATGGGACAGAAAAGAAGAAGAAGCAAACTTGTATTTAGCTGTAACACCAACTGATCTGGGAAAAGGGGAAATCATAAACTTTAAACTTTACTGGTTAGGGGCTTGTAGTTATCCCACATGCAGTAACTTTTTTGTGGTTATAGGATGTTCCTTTCTTGTTTTGGGCAAAATGAAAACTGTGGGATGTGAGTTTGCCTAAGAAGTTTTCCAAATTTTGTAATGGTTTTATTATGACTCAATAAAAATTTTACTACTATAATAGTGTGTGTGGATAGGATGCAAGGATAAGTACGGAAACACATGTTGCATCACTGCAAAGGTTGTTGTCTTGTTACTTTAATTAGTTAATTACATTCTCAGAAAAATTAGTTAATTAATGTGACTTGAAAGAAAACGGCCAGACTGGCAAATATGCTAGCAGCTAGCTAGCTAGCTAGCTGCCTCTTCATGGGATTATAATTGGCAAAATTTAATTTTCCATTCTTATACTATTAAGGTTTGCTTTGTTTTGGGTGGGGAGAAAAATAGAAACTTGAAGTAGTTGTAAGAGATTGAATAACATGCCAAGAGGCTCCCCAATTAAAGGAGTAATGAATTCATATGCTAGAAAAAGGCAGTTCCTTTTAATGAATTTCGATATGGTTAGTCGCCAGCTACAGTGCTAATTTGAGGTAAATAACACCAAAGTATGTAACCAAAAAAAAAAATAACACCAAAGTAGCTAGGCGAGTTATTGATAACATAAAGAGCCAAATTTAAATCCCCGAAATTAAATTCTTTTAAAAATGGTGCTCACTTACTACCAGGAAATTTTTGGCAGCAGTGACAAGGATCTTGGTTCTTGCGTTGTTTGAAATTTGAATCCATAAACCAATTTACACCAAACACTATGAGAATCTATTTTTTTTAGAATAAATGTTGAAAATCTATTGTAGATGGCTAAATCCACTTTCTTGTAGCACTAAAAACGTATTAAAAAAGTTTCATAAAGACAAAATAAACTTAAATCTTGTCTAATGATGGCCTAAATTTGGTTGGACAAGCAAACAAAATCTGCCATCCTGTCTTTCCTCCGCTACACACAGGGCTTTGGCTTGGCCTTGAACTAACATACTCTTGGCATATTTTAATTGTTGATGAACCAGCTAGGAATCATCGTTAGAAAACTATGAACATGTTATGCTTATAGACTATTAAGGTGGTAAATGAAACTTAATTTCTCTTAGACATTTTTAATTGTTGGAAACATCAACATCACAAAGTAGTATTGGCCGTTTTTTAAGTTTACTAGTTACTTAACGTATACAATTATTATTGGGACTTACTAACATTAGAGAAAGGCTTAACATGATTTCCCCTTAATAACAAAATGAAATCGGAGACGTACATATGTAGTTTTGTTCTCTCTTAATTATGTTATATTATTATATATACTCATCAATTATGACATCATCAACATTATTACCATAAGTTTTAAGGTTAATTCACAATCTTATACCACAACTGAAACACCCCGACTAAAATTTACCCAACATACAGTAATTACTGAACAACAGTGCCGACACGTGGCACAAACAGTAAATACAACAGGAAAATCCGGCCCAACGGCCCAGAGATAATATCATGTCACCCGACCTCGAGTATCTCAACATCAACAGCACAGCGGAAGCAATTTTAATCTCAATATCACATTTGCAAAATCCGATGCAAACTAATGGATTCGAGTCCTGCCCGAGGGGTGCGCCGCAGCCTGCCATGATGCATTCC